GCAGGTTTGGAGAATGTTATCACTCAGGGTTGGTGTTGGGTGGTGGGGACGTTAGCGCCTGCCCCATTCCTAGGGTGGGGGAGGAGTTGGTTCAGACCTGCTGTTTGGGACGCCCCTTTCCCACCAACAGTCAAGCAGTCATCCTGTCGGAGCACACGGGTCATAGACATCACAGTGGTTTTCCCCAAATCAGAGAGGACCACAGTGGCATGGAAGGTCATGTAAATGCGGAGCGTTTGCTCAGAGGTAGTTAACTGCTGCCATGCCCAGGCCCAGAGCCCAAGGGGGCGCTGTCTGGGCGGATGGGGACCCACAAGGTCTTTTAGGGAGGCTTGAGCCAGCCCCAAGAGCAGCGCCTTGAGAGTTGTACAAACCTCTAATGTCGGTTTTACTTAGCAGTTTCACAGATGAGCACCATGGGGCGGCACAGGCGAGGACATAGCGGCGGGTCCGCTCACCTGGGGCCCTCCTTAGTGGATGCTGTGGCGGCTGCAGGGTCTGAGGTGAGGGCTGCTTCCAGCCTGCTCCTGGCTGGTCTGCAGTAGGTCTGCACCAGCTTCCTCGGGCAGTCATGACAAAGTACCCCAGATAGGTCTCACAGTCCTGGAGGCCTGAAGTCTAAGACTAAGGTGTGGGCAGGGCTGGTTTCTTCCAAGGCCTCTCCACTTGCTTGCAGATGGCTGCCTTCTCCCTGTGTCCTCACATGGTCATTCTTCTGTGTGTGTGTCTGTGTCCCAATCTCCTCTCCTCTGAGGACACCAGACGTATTGGATTAGTGCCCACCCTTATGATATGACCATTTTAAAGATCCTGTCTCTAGATACAGTCACATTTTTAGGTCATGGGGTTAGGGCTTCAGTGTATGAATTTGGGGGGACACAGTTTAGCCCATAGTAAGAGCACAGTGAATCCACCCCATCTAGCCCCACAAGCCAGCCCCGCCAGCAAGCAGGCCTGGGCAGTGTGATCCACCCAGTGACCCCTCAACTTACGAGGACCCAGCCAAACCCTGTGGACTGTAGTTGGGGAGGCTCTAATGGGGAGGGCGGGGTAAAGGCCACAACCCAGGCCCCATGGGCACCTGGGACCCCTGAGCAGCTTTAGTGTTTTCATCCTCTGAGCTTGTGCTTTCCTAGGAGCATCGTGGCATGAGCACCCTTCTCTGTTGGATACCGGATGTTTGGTCATGTTCTTTTCCAGTGGGCAGCTTTGTGCAGGTGGGGCAGGGAGGTGAGGGGGGCGTTGAAGGAGTGTGGCTTGGGTTGAGACGAGCTCACCACTGTCTCAGGGCCACACGGGAGCTGCTGAAGTGGTGCAGGCTCAGCCCTGTCCAGTGGCAGGCCATCCACCCCAGTGGCTGAGACCACAAGGAGGACCTGAGCTCAGGTGGTCACCACCTGACAACTGCCTGAGCACTGGGGTCCTGGAGGTGGAAGGCCACGAGCACAGCTGCGTTTGATCCCATTGCAGACACCAGTTCCTTGGTGGCTCTTCTCCATGGGGTGGCAGGACGTGGCACCTGCATCTCACCTGCCTACAAGCATGTGGTCAGACCTGTGAGATTTCTGCTCTAAAGCAGAAGGTGGAATCCCCTTTGCCAAGTGGCATCTTTCCTCCAGCTGGCACTAAAGCTAGTAGCCTCAGTTAGCAGCCGAGAGTCGTCAGGTTCTAGTGGTTCTGTCTTCATAGAGTTAAGACAGGATGGGGTGGGCACGGCCTGTGAGGGATGGAAGTCTCCTACAGAGAGATGATGGAGAAGTTTGAAATGATGCCTCCGTGATTATACTTGAGGAGCACGGCCCTGGGTGCTCTCAGCGTCATTCCCATGGTGTCGCTGCCTTGCTCCTGGGTGGAGAGCTGCATGTGCTTAAAACCACACAGTGCTTTCTCAGCGGGGTGGCCCTTGGCTGGCCACAGGGCTGAATGTGGCCCCCAGACAGGCTTCGCTTGTCCTGGCTCTCTTCTTCCTTGCGCCCTTTCCTGTCCTCCACTGGCCCTATTGCTCCCTCAGTCTTCCTGACTCCTTTCTGTTGCCTGCCCAGCCCTGAAGGCATGAGCCTACACCCCGGTGGGGGACAGTTAGAGAGAGTTTCTGGTCCTTTTGTCCAGGCTGACTTTGCCCCTTTCCCAGCTTCTACCCTAAAGCCCTGAAGAGGCCCCAGGACAGAAAATGGGCCTTTTTGGACCATGAATGCAGGCAGCAGGGTACAGGGCAGCATGGCAGGGGCCTGACCCCAGGGCTGAGGGACACCAGCCTGTTCCACACTTCCCACTCCAGGCCCCAGGCTGATCACACGTGCACACATGCATGCACCTTCATGCACACACGCACACTCTGGCTTTCACGCATACTCACATGCACACACACAGATGTTTACATGCACGTGCATGTACACACGTGTGTACATGTGCACAATGTACATATTTACACTTACATAGTCATGCACACGTGTGCACTCACACACGTACACAATCATGTGCTCACATGGTAGTTGTTTGCAGTCTCTCCATAGCACGGAGGAGGGAATGTGTAGGTGAGCTGAGGGGACATGCATGCAGTCCTTGGAGGTTTAGTCCCCTCCGTGGTCCATGGTGGGGTGGGTGACAGCCTTGGAGCCTGTGATGGGCAGGGCTTCACGTGCAGCTCCACGGTCACCATCAGCCTTTCGTGCACTACAGTGTTGCTGAGCCTTCTTCTCTGCTAGCCAAGCAGGGGCCCTTGGTGACTGGGGGCACTTGGTGTGAATATTTGAATGTGAGGTCTCTCTATACAGGGCGAGGTTTTTGGTGCCAGGACGAAGATTGATTCTGAGTTACTCCCTTGGTGGATTTGGGCATGGCCCTCATGGTGCCCTCTTTCTCAGAGCAGAGATTTAGGTCCCTGGTGGCAGCATCTTTGGTGCCCTAAATTCAGTGCCTGGCCTATTTGCTGGGCCAGATGGTGTCTTGTCAGTGAGCAGTGGTCAGGGCTGCAGGAACACATGGGAGGGACTGTGAGGGCCTCAGTCCAGCTGGGACATAGCCTACCAGGCGGGGCGGGGTCTGGGTCTGTCCTGCTCTCGGCCACGTCCTCGGTCTAGCCAACTCCTGGCAGAGTGGGTGCTTTGAGCATCCATCAGGCGAATGAGTGAGTCAACAGAGGGCTCTGCCTTGGCCTCCTGCAACAAGTCCCAGGGGGCTTGTCTCAGACCCTGCCTGTCACATGTCCACCTGGCCAGTCACTGGAGCTGGGCCACAAGACACTGTGGCAGGCCCTGTGCTATCCCTGTCCATCTGGGAACTGTCGAGACCTGAGCAGCCCCCAGCCTTTCGGGGTCTCCTCTCCCTGCCCCAGGGCTCTGGGCCAGTATGTCAAGCTGCCCAGGAGAGTTAGGACTGGTGGACTCCGGCGACCATGGACAAGGTCGCATAAACAGGAGGGGCAGAGGCCAGAGTGAATTGAGGAAATAGGCTCGATTGAGCAGGCAATTGAAAGAAAAAGAGAAACTGAAAATTATGAAAAGAAGCTCCCTTATTATATTTAACAAACTGTAGGTGGTAAACACAACCATGTGCTAATTCTTAGGTAGAACCAAGAGTGAATTGTGTCAATTTTGTGCCGCGTGTGTGCACATGTGTGCATATGTAACATTGCCAGCAATTTTGAACTCATCCATGATTTGGTGTATTTCCCTCTCATTTGTCATTCTCTGTGTGATTATGAAAAGTCCCTTTTTATAAAAATATTTTCGAGGGCTTCATCACTTTTCCAGTGGGCTTCTCTTACTCCTTGGAACTCAGATCCAAGGGAACAAGCAAAGGCCCCCAGGCACATGTCCTTGCTGTGTGTAGGATGGACAAGGCGTTGGGGCTGGGGCAGAGTGGGCTGAGGGAGTGGGCCACTGGCTGAAGGAGGGGACGGGGAGCCTGGATTCTTTGCCTGAGGGTGGTGATTGCTCTTCAAGACCCAGGATCGGGACATCCTATGTATTTGGTAGGAGGGGAGCCTCTGAGTTTAAGGTTTCCTGCCACAAAGCACTGGCATTTCCTGGCATTTTGGAAACTGAGCTGAGAAGTTTCTGGAGCACAGGGAATGGCAAATTGTCAATCATTCTTTTTTTTTTTTTTTTTTGAGACAGAGTCTCGCTTTGTTGCCCAGGCTAGAGTGAGTGCCATGGCGTCAGCCTAGCTGACAGCAACCTTTAACTCCTGGGCTCAAGCAATCCTTCTGCCTCAGCCTCCTGAGTAGCTGGGACTACAGGCATGTGCCACCATGCCCGGCTAATTTTT